GTCTCACACTTTATTTTGGACCTTCCTGGGTTATTGCCTGGTTCCCGTTGCTGTGTTTACTTTGTTTACTTGTGTATTTAGGGTCCGCTCCGTCTGTACAGGGTTCTGCGATGCAGAGCGTGAAGTCTGCACACATTGGCTCTATAGATGTGATAATAAATACAGTTAACCCAAAAATCAGTTCTCTCTTGCTCTGTGTTGGGCAGTCCCGGGTGCAGTAAATGTCTATCATGGGATGTGATAATAAATACAGTTAACCCAAAAATCAGTTCTCTCTTGCTCTGTGTTGGGCAGTCCCGGGTGCAGTAAATGTCTATCATGGGTGCAGCTCCCTAGAATTCAGTTGAAGGAAAGTGAGATCTTTATCTGGAAAAAGTCTCTTTTTAATTCATTTCAGAAGGCGACGGCGCAGGAAGGCACTGTTCTCGTGAAGCAGGCGGGGAGGCTGCAGAGCGCTTGCGCGTGTGTGGCCGCCTTTGCAGTGTTTCCCTGTTGGAATCTGAATCTGACTCTGTCAGAACTGCTGCCTTTCCTTTCCCACTGGAGAGCACTAAGCTGTTCTGGAAGGAGGACAGGACCTTGACTTGCCAGCATGATGGGTGGCGAGATTTAGGTTTCTGAAACTGAAGCGCTGATTGGAGTTCAGACTGCGTGAGAACATGACCCTCCTCTCAGCTCCTTAAAAACAGTTCTCATTTCTCATGTGGGTCCAGGACCCATCGTCTCAAGTCACAGTCGCTGCAGATGTCATCCAGTTCTGCTCTCCGGCTCGTCACATAAGAAACAGTCCCCACGTTTTTTTCCCAGCTTCATGACTGTTTCTGCTCAGGTGGACAAAGCGCTTAGCTCTGTAATAGTCTTTGAGCATCAAGACAGGGGTGGGAAGCACGATCCAGTTTTCTTCTGGGCCCATCTTTCACCCAGTGGGGGACCCTGCATTAGTAACTGACTAATGGGGTTCTTTTGAGGCCAAAAGGGCATCACAGCTCCCATAATCATGAAGTTATCCTAGAACGTTCTTAACCCATGAGATGAGCGTGTCGTTTCGACCTTTCCTCCACCGTCCCCATGAAACGGCGCCCCCACTTGGGGATGATAGGGCTCCTTATTTGTAAGACTTCTCGTTTCGGGATTTGTCGGCTTCGCAGTTTGCGTGCGTCACCCTGTCAGTCTGTGTTCACTTTTAGTGTTGGTTTACAAGTTTTCGTTTCTGGGCATGGTGCTGAGCTGCCATGAGGTTTTGCCCCGGGGCACAGCACGATCAAGGGAACTCAACAGCGATTGCAAGAGCTTAACAATCTCTCCAATAAGAAATTGCCTCCCTCTTACTGTAACCACAAGGACTTATCACAAGCCATGGGACCCTCTGTCAAGTAGGCTGACGGTCTACTTTCAAGGTGACTCTGTTACCTTGTATACTTTAATAACTCCCAGGATACACCGAGTGCACATGGAGCATGAAAAGCAGGAATCTTATGAGGCAGATAGGGGCTGAGGAATTTCTTTTTCTTCATGAGAGAATGTCTCTTTTTGTTATTAAATGATGACGTCTGCACCCAAGTTCCTGACTGATATGTAGTGAAAAGGGTGCAGCCCTGGGGAATAATGAGTTTATCGAAAAGTACGTTTTTGTACTTTTTTTTGGTACAGACTGACCTGTGGCAAGGAGATTATTTTTGGTGTTTGAGGTGTCACGACACCACATAATGCACATGGAGTTTTTTTTTATTAAGCAGTGCCCTAAATGGAAGTTGAGGCCCCTTTGTGGACGGGAAGCACATCTGCTCTCCATACGATGGGTCGGTCGGGAGAATATTCTTGCTACTTTTCTGGACAAAGGTCACCCATTCCTTGATCTGGCCGTGGTCCTTCTCATTGCCACTGGAGCTCCTGTTCTTGTCTGGCTCCCTCTCAAGCGGTTTGCTACCCTTGATGCTGGTCCAGTTCTATATGGGAAACAGCACAGTCGTCTGAGGTCCCTGAGAAGCAGAAGCTACGTGGGGGCAGCAGATACAGAAACGAGGAGCAGCCAGGCGCTGTGGCAGCTGATTGGTCAGTCTGCTCGGTGGTTTCAGACACCATGGTAGCTGATTGGTCAGTCTGCTCGGTAGGTTCAGACACCATGGCAGCTGATTGGTCGGTCTGCTCGGTGGCATCTGTGTGACGAGCTTCCAGTGCGTCTGGCCTGACTCTGTGGCGGATTGTGTTCTGGTCATGGAGAACGTCTCGTTGAATGACTAGTTGAGAAGCAAGACGGGCTCCGCGT